ATTATTCAAAATGTATGTTGTGCGACAAAATCCTGTTAATTTTAAATGAAAATCGTTCAATTAAATTTCAAAAACTTAAACATTTTTTCCTGCAACAACACTATCACATATCTTTCATTTGATTGAAATAAATAAATGTTATTTCTATTGATTTTATTGTATTTATATGTATTATATAGTAATAATTTTTTTGAGTTTAAAATGATATAATAACAGTGCTTGTMTAATAAATTCTCAAACGCTACAACTACTTACTCTAGAATCTAGATGATATATAAATACCAAAAAATGTTTATGGCATAGTTATAGTTTATAATATCTCATTAAAGAATAATTGCATTGAAATATAATAAATCAACTTAATATAAACATTTGCATAGTTGTTAAAATGTTTTAAAATGTTAATCCATTTTTATTCTAGGACGTGATTGCTGGCTTGCTATTAGCTACTATTTTGTTGATTCCATTTGTACCATTGGCTGATGTTCTAGACCGTTATCTTATGTATAATGAATGGACACCATTGATATTTATTGTTGTTACTGTGAGCTTAATAATCATTTACCCAACTAGTGATCAGTGGACGCCTACCAAGTAAATTATATTTGAAATAAATTATTAATATTTTCAAGGTTCTAAGCTAGGCAAGGAATGTACTGGTTTTACAATAGTTTATTTTTCTATTAATTAAGAATGATCTTTTTTTATGTATTTGATTACTGTTTAATATCTATGGTTGAATAAATATTTCAAAATATTCTAGTAACSCAGTGTGAAATTAAATAATGTTTTGGTGTCCAAACTAGATTGTGCTAATAAGAAAACTTTAAAATTGTTTTTGGCTAGTTTTAAAAATAAACCAATGTTATGTATATCTATAAATACATATTTTATTTTATTATAAACAAAATTGTTTCAATTTAAATAATTCTTTATGTAAATAATTATAATTGATAATAATACATAGAAATTAACAATATTTACAAAATAAATGTAATTTAAGATTGCATACTACTGGACTATTATACTTATCATGATACAAATAATTTGTTTTATAACTGATACACAGTATTGATCTCTATTCTACAGACTATTGATTTTATGATGTAAAGATAAGCCATCCTATTGTTAATATTGGAAGCTACTAATTGYTGTCAACCTAGGTTTGCTGTATCCATTTTTATCAAGCGTAATATAAATCGTTACAGTAAACTTAGTGGTTGACAGCAATTAGTAGTTTTCAATTTTAAAAATTGGATTGGATGGCTTGTCTGTACTGTATAAAATTAATACTAAACATATAAATAATTAAAAACTTTACAAAT